GGAGGCATCCACAGGATCCCAGGTTTCCTCGGAAGGACAATCGCAGCACCCCGCCATCGTGATCCAAACCCCTCTGGCCTTCTGAAGCTGTGCACAAAGGCACCAAGCCCCACGAAAGAGGGAAGCTGGCCTCTTTTGCTCCCTCTGGCCCCCCCTGCAGAAACTCCTGCCCACAATGGGCAATGGATGCTCTTTCCCCAGAACGAGGAGTTGGAGGGGCAGGCGGGGTTTCTAGACGGGGCAGACCAATCGCTGCCGGGTCCCCTGACTTGGGGCAGGAGGAAGCGGGGGGCAGGGGTGGTGAGAAGAGAGGTGCTTTCGTCGGGGGGGCTGCACAGCCAGGTGAGTCACCCCCAGGCCCAGCACCTCTGGAGGGGAATTCGTTCTTGCATGAATTCGTTCAGCTTGTGTTCTGTGCACGCCTGCAAAACCCACAAGGCTGCAGCAACCTCTAATGTCCCCTTTCTCCCCCACCCTTCTCACTCATAGGGCCCTCTGACTGAAACACGGAACAGCTTTAAGGCCAAAGAATACAAAGCGTGTGAACTTTTAAAAAAGACATTATACAACAATTCTGCAATCAACCGCAGTGAGTGTTAAAATAAAAAAATGAGTATATCACGTTTTTATTTATATTTACAACCCATTTTGGGGAGGTGCTTCCAAGTCAGCCTTGGCTCCTGGCGGCTGCCTGGACACGTCCCCACCGTTTTCTTGGCACGATTCTGGAAGTGCTTTGCCCCGGCTCCTCCTCCCCAGGGCCGAGAGGGAGGGACCGTCCCAAAGCCACCCGGCTGGCTTCCAAGCGTGAAGCAGGACCAGAACTCCGGTCTCCCTACTCCTAATCCGCTACACCAAACGGTCTAGAACGCCACCATGCGAAGGTTTCACTGACCGACCGATTTCTTTCGAAAGCTGCACTTTCAGATCTCGGATGTTGACAGGAATCGGTCCCCCGTACCAATTCTGCCAGGCAGCTAACCTCTAAATCCCAGCTCCCCAACTTCCAGAACGTTGTGGCTGTTTTCTCCTCCTAAGAATGTTTCTCCTGGCCTGAACGCTGTGCTCCTGAGCCCACTTCCTTGGGAATAAATCTCATTAAGCGGGTGCCTAATTCTCACTGAGTAGGTAAATGTTTCCCAGAACGAGACCACTTGACATTTAAAATGCAAACACCACTGACTGCTGGGTGTCTTAATCAAAGGAAAGAAAGAACAGGACTCACCGCCCTCCATGCAGGGGACTGAAGAGGAGGAGGAAGGCTTCCAAGTTAACCTGCCCCTTGAAATGCTGGTTTTCTACGTGTGTGTGGGTGTGTACTGTGTGCATGTGGGTGTGGTGGCCACACACAGAAATGCCCTGCTGCCGGCATCTCTTGCAGAACAAGAGGGGGTCCACAGCCTGGTGACCTCCTCCTCTCCTGCAGGAGACAGGTCAAGAAGCAGCAGCTTTCCTTCGGCAGGACACATGTTTTCTGCTGCTGCTGCTGCTGTTCACTGGCTGGCTTTAGGCCCTGCTTTCTATGTTGGTGAGTACAGATGCAGCCTGCAGATGTTTCTGAGCACGGAGAGGGTGTGGACCAAGCACAGCTCGGGAGGGAGGGGAGATCCTTCTCCCACTCGCATCTCCAAGAGGAGCATCTTCAGAGGGCCCCAACCGCAGACCGTAAAGGCTGGAGCGGTTCAGCGGGAGGGGGGCCTTTAGATCAGAGGTTCATAACCTCTGCTGAAACCTACAGACCCCTTCTCATAAGAATGCATTTCCATGCACAAAATATAGATTGTATTACAATGGAAACCGAAATGCTGAAATACAGTCTATAGCAAATATGTAATGTAGTAATATATGTGTATCTTTATTAAACCATTAAATCAGCAGCAAGACTATAAATACATTTAAAATGTAGGCAAATTAAAATTAAAAAATTTTGGAGTCTAGAGGCCATAAATTACTTTGTTGGCCTACATTCATTATTGAATGAAAGGCTAAGTTTCAGTTAGAGGTTAGTGAAAATTAAATTGTAACTTTTTTTCCATCCAAGTTCATGGGCTCCCTAAATCTATCCCTGGACCCCAGGTAAAGAACCTCTGCCTTAGATGGTCAGTACCTCAGCCGTTTGGGGCTTTAAAGAGTAAAACCAGCACCTTATACTGTGCCCGGTGGTCCTGGCCTGATCTCAGGGGCCTTCCTTGGATGAGGAAGAGGACCAAGAAGAGGAACTTCAAGAAGCAGCCTCCGTGCCAGGTCCCAGTGGCACCAACCCCTGCCCTAGATCCAGCAGACTCTGGTCCAAATGAGGCACCTCCTCCATCCAACCCTCCAGCTTCTGAAGAGAGAGCATCAAAAGGAGGAACAGCTGAGCCTCATTACTGAGGAGGAATCTGCTGGAGGAAACCTGATCGGGACCTGATGTGCTTGGGTGGGAGCAGAAGCTGCTGGTGGTCAGGCCCAACCTGGCCTTGCTTAGGTTACTGGAACGATGCCCATTTGTGAAAACCTCGTTGATTTCCATCCTGGAGCTTTTTACCACCCCTTCTGAAGGTAGCTGCACGGAGATGCATTGCAGTAATTGAAACAGGATGTAATAAAGATGGGGCTCGCTGTCACAAAATGCAACCAGCTGAGGAAGACTCATGGCTGGCATATCAGATATAGTTCTACCAAAGTGCTGTTCACAACAGCTAGCACTTGGGAATCCAGCAGCAGAGGATAATCCGGAAGCACGTCCAGCCAGCTCTTCCAAGCATGGCTTCCTGAGTGCCATGTAAGCTGAGTTACAAGTACGTTCAAATGGGCCTCGCTCCAGGCACGATCCGACCTGTTCTGAGAGTTCCTTCACTTGCCCTCCAACTGACATCTTCTTTGCCGCTGCTTCCGTAGTCAACCCACGGACCAACCTGGTTCTGCAAGAGGGAGGACTGGGAGCAACAGGGCCAAATGCTTGGACCATCTCCATGTCCCACAGACCAGCCAGGGCTTCCGCAGTATTGCTGAGATCCATCGGGTATGTGGGCGAGGGAATTTTAACCAGTCCTCTGCTCTTGCAGAGATGTGCATCAGTTGTGGGTCTGTTGCTGGCCTGGGAATGACCTGTCTTTGACAGGGGAGCCGCACTGGGCTCCTCCATTTTCAGACCCCGCTCCACAGAACAGAAAGCCAAACCCAAAATACGCCATGCTGCGCATGCCAGCCCAGACTCCAGCTGGCAGAGCCTTTGGCCGTTCAGGGTGACATGCAGTCCCAAGGCCCCCTTAACTGGGCCACTCTAGCAGGAGTGCTGGAATCCCCAGGGCAAGGAGCCCAGGACACTGCAGCTCCATGCCCGAGACCACCCCGAGTCGCTCAGGAGCAGAGGCTGGCAGTGGCCAGGGGAGATGCTGTCCCAGTTACCTCCCAGCCTGGGCTCAGAGTGCTGGGTGGAACTGCAGAGAGAAAGGCCATCTTAGGTCACATAGGGGAAGAGCTAGCGAGCGAGAGGCACGAGAGGGGTGGCGGGGAGCAGGCAGCCCCTCGCCCACCTCCTGCCAGCAGAGATGCCCTCCTGGGCACTGTCGCCTCCAGCTTCTGGCGTCCCCGTGGGCGCAGCAGCAGGAGCCCTGTCTGTCAGCATGAGGACCGGGAGTGAAGGGAGAAGGTCAGACCTTCTCCTCAGCTCGGTAACGAGGGAGCCTAATTGCTGATGGCTGGTTACTAAGCCCCAGGACAGGAGCAGCCTGGACACCATCAATATATCAACCTTGGCATGTGACCCAAACAAGATTATTCATTTCCAGAGGTGTTTATCTCCCTCCTCTCTGCTCTCTGGGGAGAAAACATAATTATTATTTAAACGTGAGTTAATTCAGCCAAGGTGTTGATCAATAATGAAGAATTACTCTTTTAAAAATAAAGAAATCAACAGGCAAGGCAGAAGGCATGCCTAGTCCTGGGAGGACTCAGTTATGGAGACAGGGTCACGAAAAGCAGAAAATGTGAGGGGCCAGAGGGGACGGGGAGGAAGGTGAGCTCCGGCCACTCCAAAGACCCACCAGGTGGTGGAAAGAAATGAACCTGCCCATCAGCTCCTTTCCGCTTGTGCTCAGGAAGGCCAACTGTTTACTAGACTTTCGAGGACGGTTTTGGTGGGAACCAGCTGGGGATCATGGAAGCGCAAATTATTTCCTGCTGGGGTTCCAAAACCTGCTGGGGGGCCCAAGGGGGCCCCCACCTAGCCTATCTTCCAACAATGGCAGGCGATGCCTTGAGGAGACTGTCCGCCCAGCGGGCGCTTTGCACCAGAAGGTAGCCTTGGAGCTCTTCGTCTTCTCGTCCCAGGAACTCGGTCTTGGCAAGCCACCCTGAATTTCTGCAGGAGCCCGCCTGGGTCCCCCCCCATCAGCTTCCGACCCTCTTCCTTTTGGGGAAGGCAATCGTGTCATTTGAAACACATTGTTTTAATCTGCGTGCGGTTTTTAATTTTAATTTTATTTATTTATTTATTTATTTATTTATTTATTTATTTATTTATTTATCGCTGTAGTTTATTAGTCTTATGATATACTGCCGGCTTTTGTTGCCTCTTTGACGGAGACAGAGAGAGAGAGAGACGGAGGGAAGGAGGGAACTTGTCGCAGCTGCTCATTTTTAATTCCTTTGGCAAAAACTGATTATAAGAGTTATTACAATGGGGTATGGCATTAAATAAAACACGGTAAAAAGTGTGATAATGGAGCAAGCTTCAATAAATAGTTGGGGGACAGTTATTTACACCAATCTGCACAGCCCTGCTCATTTGTTATCTCCAGCCACGGACGGCACCCGTAAATAACAGTGGCCACAAGCATAATTTCCTGCCGTCGCCCTTCTGCAACCGACACCTGGAAAGAGGGTCTGAGAAAAACACCTGCCACCTCCTACTACGCTGCTGGGGCGTAACCTGCGCCCAGGTCTCTGCAGGGAGAAGCGGCAGGGACCCCTCTCTGGGGGATGGGGAGGGGCGAGGAGGGGGCGGGGCCGCTTACCTTGCTGGCCGTGCTTCTGAGCGTAGACTACCACCATTGCGGTGAACACCACACAGCACGCCGCGGGCACGGGGGAAGCCATCTGTGGACCTAAGGAAACAGAAGCAAGGGGTCATTGGTGCAGAAGCCTAGTGGGCAGAGCAGAGACGGGAGGGGAGGCAGAGCAACCGTCTCCGGGCGGATCTGAACCACGGAGCAAGAGGGAAGGGCTAAAGAAAGGAAGGTGGTCCTTCTTGCCCTTTTTATGTTCTGCAGAAAGGATTCCAGCCCTTGGCAAAAAAAGCAGGACCAGGGAACCCCCCCAGCATGGCGGCACCTCGGCTCCCAACCAGGAGGGCTGACAGGGAGACGTGTTGGCCGGCCTCCCTTCCTTCCCTGTCCATCTCGCTACAGTGATTCTGGGCAGCTAACAAGAAATTAAAAACAGACTCTAATTAACAACTCTAATTAAAAAAGAAATTACAATCAGTATCAATCAATGAACCCCATGCCGGGGTCCGCGTAGATCATTCCATCTGGCAATCAGTAAGAAACCACCTCCAGCCAGCAGGGATCAGCGAGCACCCCAGCCCAAACGCCCGAGGAACCAGCAGGCTTTGGGGTCTTCTGAAAGGCCAGCAGGATCCAGGCTACCCAGATCTAGGGGCGGGGGGCGGGGGGAACGCTGTTCCACAAGGAGTGCCATTGCAGGGAGGGCGCCTGACCGGTAGAGTTGCGGACCGTAAGGTCCCGGAGGGGCAGCCGTGTGCCTTGGCTCACATTGCAGGCTAAATTCTAATCCCAGACACGTGGTGCAAGCCACAATGTTGTCTCATGCATCATGAAATTGTTGCACAAACGATATGAATCATGTTATCGGTATCCTGCCACATCTTGCAACGCACAGTGGTTTACAATAATAAAACACAGAAACAAAATATTATAAAGCAAGGAGAAACAATGTACCAAATCATGATAAACAAAGTGGTAAATGCTGCAGTAACTACAGGGGCCCACTCAACACTGGGCAACATCAGCCATAAAAGCTCTGGGGAATAATTCCCTCTCCACCACACCGTACCAGAGTTGGGCCGATCTACCTTCCTGAGAAACCTCTTCCAGAAGGTGGGGGGCCCACCAGCCTTCCAGGCCCCACCAGTCCCTTCTCATGTATGATGAACCCCAAGATCCCCAGTTGGGATGATGGCTGATTCTCCCAGAGGAGATAGTCCTGGAGATATCTAAGAGTCAAATCACGTAGGGCAGGGTTCTTCAACTTTGGTGGACATGCTGGCTGGGGAATTCTGGGAGTTGAAGTCCCAGACATCTTCAAGTCGCCAAGGTTGAAGAGCCCTGACATAGGACTTTCCACTGTTGAAACGGACACAGGAATCCACCAAGATCCTATACAGGGCCTGCAGTCTAGATGTCATAAGGCTACCGTTCCCTAGCAGTCTTCAAAGGCAGCCCCATGTAGAATGTCATGGCTGATGCAAATTGCATATTTCACAGCATTTATGCAGCACTGTCATGAGGCAGGTACTGTCTCTTTCCCCCTGCCATGGAGACCCATGATTCTAAGCAGACGCCACTGCTCAGGTTACCTAACACACTAGGTCCATCCAGAGGCCATAAATGACTTTACATAATGGTTTGGTTCACACAATCTAAAACAGTGCTTCAGCATTTGTGGCGCCTCCAAACCCCATCTTGCAATTCCAGAACCATATACTTACCATATTTCTCTCCCACTGCTGGGCTCACTTGCACCAGGCAGCAGAAGATTATTATTTATTCCCTTAAGGTTCCCTCTCCTTCTCACCAACAACACCACATATGGAACACGCATTAAAAAACCATCAGATCCTCCCAAGAAAGAATGCAAGGAGAGACTAACGCATCTCCCGTGACAGCATCCTTCCTACGTCCTACCATGATGATAACCCTGCTCCTTCTGTGACACCTTCTGATGGCAAACTGTGAAAAATACAATCCTCATCTTTCTAAGCTCCATCTTCACTGCCATATGGGTAGTAGATTATGTTCTGGAGAAAACAAAATAGGACCTCGGTCCACACTAAGGTACGGCAGCTGTTCCTTATCTGCTGGGATTTGATTGAGAGTCATACATCAAACAAACATCTGGACAAGCTGGAGCCTGAAGCAGGGATGAGGGGATGGAGCTGTGCATTATTGAAAGTGTTTTTTTCTGATGGACTGGCTCCAGCTCTCCCCAGCTACAGTGCTCAAGGGTGACTGGGGAAGATGGGAGCTCGAGACAGTCCCACGGCTGGGCAGCGGGGTAGAGAAGGCTGCTCTGGTGAAAAACGAGGTTCACCGGAAAGGCTGGAGATGTCCATGGGAATAAGAAGCGGAATGCTCCAAACTGGCCCGGAGGTGATTCTTCCATGGTGTCCAAAGCAAGTCAACTTCTCTTTTCAGCCCTCTTCTGTTTTCCCTCTGCTTTTCTTTCCAAGTCTGAACCCTAACCCTTCGGACTGGTAGCAGTGGGAATCCTCAGTTGGAAGCACCATGACAATCCTGGCAGGAGATTAAGGACGATCATCATGGAAGTATGTATCACCCCGCAGCTAAGAGCCAATTTCATTCTTTTTAAATGCTTCTTTATTAATAAAAACCTAAAAACCCCAAAGACAGAAAAAGAACAGAATGACAAGACACCAACATGAAAGTAAACATTAAAAAAGGGTGTACATGTATACCAGGGATGTCTGTGGGATATGATAAAAGAACTCAAGATGGCCTTGACTATTTGATCAAAGCGCCCCTGTTTTGTAAGTGTGCTGCACACACATATAAAAAACAGGTGGAACTTCAATCACACCATCCTGGCTACCTGCTAATTTTATTCCCTACACCCTGCAGACACCCCCGGTGCATATATTTCTTGCTTATATTAAGAAGGCAGCTTTGGACTTCACTGACCACTCCTATTTGCAGGGAGGGCTTCCGAGCCCTGTACTGAATGTCCAGCAGCTATATGAGGAAGTGCCACCAGATGCCCTTTTGACCACAGTGTTGTTTAGCATCTACATGAAGGCCCTGAGTGTGGTCATCAGGCATCCTGGAGAAAGGCTTCATCAGGCTGCTGGAGATACTCTGTTCTACATCTCCCCAACATCTGAGCTGGGAGAGGCACGTTCTGGACTCAGTGCTGGGGTGGATCAGGACCAAGGAAGTACGCTTCAATCCTAAAAAGAGAGAGACTTTGTAGATGGGTGGGTGGTTCCCTGAAATGAGAATGGGGGGACCTTGCCTATTCCCAGAGGACCTGCACTCCCTCCCACAAAATCTGTGTAGCTTGAGGATGCTCCAAGAGCCACCAAGGTTGTTGGAGGTCCAAAGGATCTCTGTGAGCAAGAGCAGTTGCTGCCAGCTGTGGGTTGGTGTACCACTTAGGTCTTTTCTTAGATAGGTACCATGGCCCACTAGTGACTGACAGCATCTTCTACACTCATCCATCACCGTTGTGCTGATATAACACAACAGCCTTTGATTGTGTCAGGGAAAAATCAAATAAATAAATAACATGACCCGGAGAGATTTATAACAGCTCAGCAATGGCTGGGGGACCATAGAGGACGCCCTAAGTCACAGGAGGGGAGATGGTCAGAGGCAGCTGAAATACTGCAGTTCACACACCGGCAATCTCACATTTAGACAAGAGCAGCACACTCGCGTGTGGAGTTGTCCTTGTGCTTGGCCCAGATGCTCGGCCGGTGCAGAAGGTAGCAGCCGTGATGCTGAGGGAGACACCTGGCCACAAGCATCTTTCCCTTCTCTTGCAGCCACTGCGCTGGCTGCCAGTTAACTAGCGAGCCAATTCTTTTTCGTTTTTAAATATAAATTCCTACTATTTAATAGAAAAAAATAATAAAGTGCAAAGAAAAAAGGATACCACAAAAACGAGAAGAAAAAAAGAAGAAAGAAAATGACAGAAACATATAGAAAACAGCTGAGTTTTTAAATTCTGCATTAAACCTTGACCACACAGAGTAGCATTGATCAGCCGTTTGATTATGCAGGGAGTGAACGCGCATGATCGATCCCAGATTGTAAATCAGTTTGGCATGGTTTTTCCACTGTAATTTTTTTCCTATGCTGGTTCAATAGAGCAATAGTTTTTCATAGAATGTTAGATTCCAAATTTTAGGTATATAATTCAGAATCATATTTGCATCTTTAAACCATATTACTTTTCCAAAAACTATATCAATCAATTTAGGAATATTAAACAGAAACAGGACGATACTGGGCCCAACCACGTTACATGGCCAAGGTTCCCCCCCAACATTTTAAGCTTCGAACATAATGAAGTTGACAGCCAAACCTTTCTAAATATATTCTCCGAGGTTTCCAATCTTTTCTTAATCTCCTCGTAATATCACAAACATATTCTTTAATCACTGATTTGTTAAGATGCGGTATTTCACTTCTTTATTCCAAGGTTCTTGCAAATAACTAACATACAGCATAACAATAGTCTTTAATTCTCTATTAAAAGAAACACTCTAGGGCCAGATTCAAGGCTTTGCTTTTGACATTTAAGACCCCAAGCAATTTGGGACCCAATTCCTAATGGTTCATCTTTGCCAGTACAGACCTGATGGATTATTATTTATTTATTTCGTTAGATTTGGAGGCCAGCCAACACCCAGATGATTCTGGGTGGCTTACATCTGAAGACAGAAAACACTAAAATAGAAAAAAAGAGCAATGCACATCTGGACAAAAACACAACACACACACACACACACACACACACACAAACCCTCAACAAAATTATCATCAGGAGCTCAGCAACCCCTCTCCCCCAGGCCTGGGAGCTGAGACAGGTCTTCCAAAGCTTCAGGATCAAGAGAAGGGTGGGAGCAATATGGGTCTCTGTGTGGGGGGGGTGTTTTTCCAGAAGGCAGGCACCACGACAGAGAAGATGACGTAGAAAAGGAAGATCATCAGGGAACATCCCTGGTCCACATGCCCCAAATTGCAGAGGGATAACTGGTGAAGGCGTGCAGATGTCATTTGGAGGATTCTGATGCTGAGGACCCTGCTCCAGATGCCCGGGCAAATGCCAGCTTCAGGAATCA